ATTTTAAGAGGTCTATCATCGCTATTTTGATTTTTAGTCATAATTTGATGTTTTACGTTAGAACTGTCAAAACATTAAGGTGAAAAAAATCCTTTTTACTTATTCTTATGTAAAATTAAATTCTCTACAAAAAAGGCCCTATTAAAATTTTTGTCAGATGAGCCGTTTTCGAGTAATTTCGTAACTAATGAATCAATGCATATTTAAAAAAGCCCACGTCGGATTCCTTAAGGAAAATTAATGTTCTACAAAAAAGTTTTCTTAATATTTTTGCCTAAATTTAATTCTTCAAAAGTTATTTATTAGTTACGAAATTACTTGGAAACAGCTCGTCTGACGAAAATTTTCAGTCAGACCATTTTCGTAGAGAATTTAATTTTATATCAGAATAAGTGAAAAGGAATTTTTTTCACTTTAATGTTTTGACAGTTCTAACGTAAAACATCAAATTATGACAAAAAATCAAAAATAGCGATGATAGACCTCTTAAAATTAATATTAAGGGCTCAAATTTTTTTTTTATCATTCTGAATGATATTCTCGATATATCTTTCAAAAAAAAATAGTTATTTTTTTGGCCCAGTCTAATGTATATGATAAGAAAAATTACATACCATGAATTCTCTTCGAAAGATCTCACAGACCGGGATACTCAAATCTTCCCTAGCTCTCTTCCTGCATATGTGCAATTTCTTTTGCACATCTAACTCAGCCTCCTGTGACGAGCACACATGTGGTTTTTCACTGCTTGCAATTAATTTACCTTCTCTGGTCTTAATGGATCCTTTACAACGTTGCTTTTTTTCATTAACACATAACCAGGTAACTACGCCGTGTATGTCGCGTATTATTCGGTACTGATGACAACTAAATAAAACCGATGGCTTGCCCTTTGTTGTGGTGATAAATTCAATTTCTGCCATAATGTTATTTTGTTAACTCAATATTCAGAATGAAGGTTGCATTTTTCGTGTTCTTAGATTTATAGGTATGGCTCACCATAGGTATAGTTCAATTTAATAGCGGATAATATAAATATTAGTCTATTTTCAAAACAGTTTAAAACGATTTAATTTCGCTATAATTACCCTTACATGTCATTATGAGATCGTTATAATAACATTATGATTTAGTTGGTACCTACCTACTTACTAATTCCCTGAAAATTGTTTACAATTTAGCACTATTAAGCTCTATTAAGCACCCGTTAAAACTAATTAAATTATATCAACAATTTGATTGATCATTATCAGATAATCGTTAATCCTTTTTAGACCATACAACCTGCACTCTTTTGGACTAGAAAATTTTCTAATAATATCAAATAATAATTTAATAATTTCATATATTAATAGTTTAAAAATAATAGTAAGAAAAAATTATTCTTTCAAATAAAAATTTTTTAGTTCCAGACAATACAGATATGTCAAGCATTTATTTAAATTGAATCAAATATCTTTACTGTCAACTTATCAGTAAATATATCATCTTTCTAAAAAAATCATTCGTTTCTAATATTATAGAATGTTCGGAGCCCCACGGAGCCTTCGTTGTGGCTCAACTCTTAGGTCTCGGCGGTCGCTTCCAAGGTCGAAAACTTTTACCAACTCTGCTGCGTCGGAAAAGGCCCAAAATGGACCCTAAAACTGGTTTCCCGCCAATATCTTCCACAATATGCAAATTATAAAATTTTTGTTTAGATAAAAAAGAAAGATCTTATCATTATCTACAAAAATGGCCCAATCATTTTTGTCGGGAATTCGACAGGTTTCGAGATAACCGCAATCAAAAGTCCCCTCGTTCAGCCCTTGCTTTATGTCTATAGCAATGATGATAAGCTTGTAAACGGGTGGACAAATTGTTTTAGAACTCGGTCAAAAGTTGATATTTTTCAATGTCTCAAAGTTCATTACAATGGGAAAATCCATAGGTATCCATGTGCCTTGAAGCCCGTTATTTCCTGTCAAGAACATTGAAAAGGTGGTCAAAGTTGCGTTTTCCCACTATTTTGGACCACTTTATAGTAATTCATTCATATTTTTTTCTTTTAGTAGTTTTTTATTCCATTTTTGTTTTAAATGGGATCTTGAGATGTCTTGAATGATCTCAGAAATTTTTTTCCAGTATCTTCCTGGCATTTTATAACAAAATTGTTTTGTTTATTTGCATTTTTTATACGTTTTCTGAGTTCTAGATATCTTTAAAACAAACAGTAATTAAGAACTCATATTTTGTTATATTGTTATTCAATGCACACCATTTTAAAGTTTAGGGTGTCTACTTTTCAAATGTATTTTTTTTTTTAATAAAGTTGCTCCATTTTGCAGAAATCGAGAAAATTGATCACACCGGGGAAAACCGGACTTTTTTTTAAATACTTCTTGTTCCCCGCTGTTCATTTTTTGAACAATAATACCCAGACCGAAGTAAAGCTGATATTCTAACCTTTCCATTTCTATCAATTGATCCCCGTATGTGAGCGTGGTTCTTAACTGTTTGTTAGAATTATCTCCCCCATTTATACGCTCTCCGCCTGAGATCCATGATATTCCATCATAACCTAACCGCGTGTACCTACGCACCACGCACTCACCTTAATCGTCTGCTTTTTTTGGTATACAATATCTGTGTTTGGAGTCGTTATTGTCGGTTGTTATATATTTCTTTCATATATTTAAAGAAAATTCACGATTCTGGGTTCGAGTAGTAGAATAATAAACAATGATTATTTTTCGTCTCTATATTTAACACAAATGAGTTAAAGTGGAATATATATCGAAGATTTCGGGTTGAAGTAAGTCTTTTGTTGCTCTATCTATCATATAATTATTTCTACTAATGTTATTCTTTTTTTAGGTTAAAACAAACATAAAATAGCAAGCCCTTTAGATACAGAGCTTTTAGCGGCACTTCTAGAAGATTTGCTTTACAAAGTGAGTGTATATTACCGGAAAAATTAATGAAATTAAGTGTAAAAGGCAATTGAATATTTTAAATAAATTATATCTTTGAGTTTTAATTTTCCAACTTATGTCTAAGGCTTATCTGTAACTTCCAGGAATCCTCCGTATTTTCCCATTCAATGTGTACACAATTTTCATCACCATTTGACAGTACAGAGTGGATTCAAGGATTGTTCTGCAGCTAAACATCCATAATACAGCAAGAGGCAATTTACTTAAAGTTATAACGTATGATAAATTATAAGCATTGCTATGTATTTCGTATTTTCAACATATTTTTCATAATAAAAGAAAATTTTCAGAAACTTTCTTATTTTTCTGAAATCCTGGATCTATATTGTTCTGATAGAAGTTGGCGAAAATTTTGCAAAAGACGCAGAAAATATAAAGGGTCTTCTCGGGTCAATTTTCATCACACTCTAAAACTAGTAACCCACTATTAGGCAAAGCGCCGGAATTTGAGACTGCCACATGAAAAAAAAAAAATTTCGCACTTTTCTATTAAATTTTGCAACGCAAATTACACAGAACATTCGGCAATATAGATGAGATACCCCAAGCGCTACTTTACAGAAAAAATCCCGTAGAATCCGCCAATAAGTGTCAAAAGATCGATTGGTGCCCGGATTTCCATTCATAGGCCCCATAATTTAGTGAGCAGAGGTATGCCGCTGGCGCCATCTACAATTGGTCTCCAACGTCCAAAATATGAAAATAAATGTATTTCCAACTCCCTCGAGCGGAAATTCAGTGAGAAATTAACATTTCTATTCAGTGCAAAAATTCGGTCTTTTTTGAAGGCCGTTTTTGCAAAACATATTCGTCTTGCGAAAAAAATGATAGGGACCGTTTTTTATCTAAACAAAAATTGTCTAATTTATATATTTTGGCAGATAGCGGGAAACCATTTTTCTGACTTTAGGAGCCATTTTGAGCCCTTTCCGACCCAGCAGTGTTGGTAAAAGTTTTCGCCCTTAAAAGCAACCGTTAAAACCTAAGAATTGAACCACAAAGGAAATCTGGACCGACTTAATGACAGCTTTGCATATTCTCAGGTCTTCAGTTACTATATAACGACATTCCTAATTTTGCATCAATTGTCTAAATACACTTTTAATTATTTATTTACCAAACTAAATGTTATTTTTTGATATGTCACATATTTTTGGTTTACTTTTATGCATATGAAACTAAAAAAAAAATATTTAAATCAAAATTTCGAAAAGTGTATTTTCTATGGTAACGTAATACGAAATGCTCATTATCTCGGAATTATATGTCGGTGGCTTATGCCATTGTTCCAGAATATGGTCCAATTATGCCATTAAAAGCTCCATTCAAATGAAATGTACACTCATCGGAAAAAAAATATTAAATATAAGTCAGGATTTGCAATTAAACACAGCTCATTTCTTTACAAAACTGCAGCCTTCCATCAGGATCATGCTCGTTCAGCTCTTGTACGAATCTAGTTTTGTACGGATGCAATTTGTGAGCTTTTAAAATTCTTATTATAGATGAACGAGAGACACCCGTGACTTCAGCTAGTTGACGAGTACTTTCTGTATGGCCCAATTCAACATGTTCCAAAACAGCGATTTCCATAGCTTCATTTTTGACGACTCGATGCATCTGAATTTTCTTATTACAGACAGATCCAGTATAGGAAAACAGGAAAAGCTAGGTGCCTCATTTTTGCCCTCAAAAGAGCTCTAAAATCGAAATTTGACACAACGATATTGGTATTACTGAGTTTCTTATTGAAATTACCTTTTCAAAAATGTGCCACACTTAGTACTTTCCCTATCTGAATTCTAGGGGTTGTTCACCCAACTGCTCAAGGGTTAAAGTGTCAATGATGCAATTGGAAAAAAAAAATGTTTAACCTCCAAACAAAAATCGACGTGTTCGAGCATTTCTTCTTTAAGTCTGAGGGAACCAAGAAAAGGGGGTGGATGCTTTTCACTGAACCACACTGTATATTAACAAATGAATGTCAAAACTCTAATATATTTTATTATGTTGTATTGTACTTACATTTTTAGTAAAAACATGTAAATGTAAACAGTCTTCTGTACTAATACAACCCGTCTCTTGAAGATTTTCTCCTTGGTAGCTAATATTTCCTTCTTTTGTTGCATCTTTGATTCCATTCCAAGATTCTACGGGTTTAGGAGCCTAATAATATTAAAATAAATATTAAAAGCAGTGTGGTGGGGTGGGTGGCTTAGTGTTAGAGCCTCTGCCTGTGGATCCAAGGGTCCCAGGTTCGAATCTCACCGTTGGCCGGAATTTTTTCATTTAATTTAATTATTTAAAATTAATTCTGATGCCTTGGTAGGATTCCCCACTCGACCATTCACTGTTGGGTTCTAATTAACAGTGCTGTTCCTAAAGTGGCGCTGGGAAACAGTAACAAAGCCTACACAGAACACGAGGAGAAATAACCTTAGCAGTTGAAGCCGATGACACACACAAAAAAGGCAGTGTTTTTGCTTTATCATGTTTTAGGAGAATTTTTAGCATGACCATGAACGAAATAGTAAATAAATTATAAGATAAATAATAAAAATCATTCAACAGTACCTTAAATCTCAATTCTCCAATGGGTGGCTTGCCGTATGGTATTGCCAAAAACGAGTAAAATTTTTCTCCATCAAGATTTATTCTTTGATATCCTCTAATTTTACCCTCATTTATAGTAACTATTGGTTGTTCCATTGTTGAAATGCTAAGACACACGGTTTAGCAAAAAAATTTGAAATATAATATATTTTTTATGATGTGTATTTATCTGATTGTAAAATGCGAACAAAAAAAAAACCTTGAAACTGATAATTATGTTTATTAACTAATATTATACAATATAATTTGCAAATCAAACTGGAATATTTTTCTACACCGAGAAAAAACTTTGCTAGTGGGTATTAAACATTTAATAGTGGGTATTAAATTTTTTGATACTGTATGAAACAGATAAACTGATTAATAGCAGATATTAAACTTTGTTCTTGAATCAGTGTTGCTGTCATAAGCAACTAATAAAAAAGTTTGCTAAACGTTAGTAAATAATTTAATAACAGATATTATACAGTTTAATATAAAAATTAAATAATTTAGTAGTCATTATTAAACAGTGTAATGTTAACATTTCGTACCCTGCGTCACATGAAATCGCACTACTATGCGGGTTGATAGAAGAATATTAATTCGTCAACCAGGCCAGACATCGAAGAGATGAATCAACCAAAATTCATCAGAGAGGGTTTTTATGATAAGATTTTGTGACAACAATTATAATTATAATAATTATAATTTTTGAATATTTTTTTCATTATATTGATATTTAAGGAGTCGAATAAACCCATTTATGTCCTTTTATGATGCGCATGGGTATTCGACTACTTTCTATCATAATAAAATTACAATAATAAATGACAAATTTTAAAACAGATGTGCACACTTAAAAAAAAATTATAATTACATTATATATAAAATATTTTTAATAGAGCTTAAATGTGTAAGATCGTTAAATATATTTGTATTTTATCGCTTCGCAATTTCAGATCCGACTACTAATCACTCAAAAATTGCATGAATTAAAGTTAATTGAGTATTTAATAAAATTTTTTTGATAATTTGCTTGAATAAATGTTTTGAGTTTATCGTCAATAAATACAATTTGTACATATCTGGAATAAAGTTGTAAATTTTACTTATTAAGAAATTAAAATGTCTTTGTCCAATCGATTTATTTGCCAGGTAAGTTTGCACATGACATTGTTGTTTAATTCTGGTGTTATATTTATGATTAATTTTTTTTAAAATGTTTTTATTTTTATAAGTGTACATAAGTAATGTGTAAACATAACTGTTTGATATCAAATATATTTATTTCAGAGAAAAGGGCATCCGACGGATATCGAGTTTTTTATTGTGTATAATTTTTAATATTCTCTTTTGTAGTATTTCTAATTTGTTTGTGTGATTCTTTGTTGTAGCGCCCCACGATAAGATGGCATATTGAATACGACTTTGAACTAAGGTATAGTATAATAGTCTGAGATGAGATATATTTAACAGTTTTTTCAGGTAATTAAATTTAAATAAAAGTGATCTTAGATTATTTGTTACATTATTAATGTGCTTATCCCATCGCAGGTGACAATCCAGTGTGATGCCTAGATACTTCATGCTGCCTGGTTAAATTCTACAATTTCACCAGTAAAAACATCAACAAATTAATATTTTACACCTACTAAATAAATAAACAATTCTCAAATAGTTCGACTGCTTTTTACACTAATATAATGTGAAGTCATAAAACTATAAATAGCATTTTTCTCAGAATACCGAACGTCGAACACCTGTGTTTTTAAGTGCACAGCGGTGCATTGGAACAAAATGAGTGTCTGGCGCATAGTGAACGAAGCACAAATGACGTATTTCATTATGTCATGATGTTTTCATTGGTTGAAACCGAATAGGTGCGTGAACTATGCCCCGGACACTCAGTTCGTCCCAACAGTATATATTAAGGTGCGCTCGACGCGAGCAGTGCAGTTGTATGTTTGCCATCATTCAGTAGTTGTCTTAGTGCCACCGAAGAATCAGTTGTCTTTTTGCCATCATCGCTCACAGTTGTTTGCTATCCGAACGTTCAAGTGCTTTCTGCCGACGGCACGTTACTTTCTACATTTTTACAAGCGTTTAATGCAGTTTATTTTCTGGTGCAAGTTATATCTTCTACAATTATTGTGGCATAAGAAATTCTACAAACAAATGTTTTCAAGTTGGTAACTAAAAAATCAACTGTATTAGTTAATCAAATTGTGATGGACTAAAATTGTAAATATTTAAAACGGTTTAGTGAAGATAAGAAAATTATTATATCTAAATGAAATCAACCACTATGTATTTACTTCAGTGAAAATAGTGAATTAAAAACACTTCTTTTTCTACTACCTATGACTCGTTAGTTATTTCTACAAAAGAACCCAATTCTTCTAACACCAGCGACATATGCTACAGAACATTTTTACCAAAGAAATATTCGGAAGTAACACCGGTATTTTTTCACTGTCAGTAATATGTATTGATATTTGTTGGTAATTAGAGTTTATATTTATGACATCGTAGACAGGGAGATTATTTTCATAACTAGTAAAGGGCATAAAAAAAGTTTTTGAAAAATTAATGGTCAGATACCTATGACTAAACCATTCAATTATTTTTGCAAGGCCATGTTCAGTTTTTTGTTTTAGATCATCCCAATTTTCAGCTTCATATAATATGGCCGTATCATCTGCAAAACTAATTATGTGACCATTACTTTGTACATTGAATAAATCATTTAGATATAGCGAAAAAAGGGTTGGTCCTAATACGGTTCCTTGGGGTACACCGTAGGTTAAAGTTCTAGAATTGCTATACGCTGTTCCAATTTTAACAATTTGCTCTCTGCCTGATAAATAATTTTTAAAAAGTTTCAGGGGAGTACCACGAATCCCTGTGTTTTCCAAGACCGATAACAATTGTGTATGATCCACAGTATCAAAGGCCTTGGCAAGGTCTAAGAATACACAAAGTGTTGGCTTTTTAGAATCAACAGATTTATAAAGTTCACTTGTTAATTTAGCAATAGCATCATTGGTAGATAAGTCTTCACGGAAGCCATACTGATTTTTAGAAATTATTTTATATTTATTTAAATACTCCATTAATCTACTATTTAGAGTTTTTTCAAAAATTTTTGTAAATGTTGTTATTAACGAGATCGGGCGATAATTGATACGTTTTTTTGTCACCTTTTTTATGAATTGGAACAACTATCGTTTTTTTAAAATTATCAGGGATATGACCTTCGATAAAAATCCGATTGATTAAGTGCGTTAACACCGGTAATATACCTGGTAATATATATTTTACTGTTTGTGCTTGCACCCCATCGAAACCTGGGGATTTTTTATTTTTTGAGGATTTAATATATTTTTTTATTTCTTCCTCTGTTGTGGGTCTCAAAAAAAATGAGTTTTGCGTAATATTTTGAACAGGAAAAGGTGTATTTGGAGTCACGATTTGTTCTGCTAGGTTTTTACCCACCTCTGAAAAATAATCATTAAACTCTTCAGCTATTTTTTCTGGTTTTGTTTCAATTTTCTTTTTTTGTGTTTGTATTTCTGTTATTTCTTTTTTTTCATTGGAATTCTTTCCCTGTAACTGATTTATTACTTTCCACAATACCTTTGAACTAAATTGGTTTTCTTCAATTTTTTTTGTGTAGTAATCTTTTTTAGATTTTTTTATTAGTTGATTGGTCAAGGTTCTATATTCTATATATCTTAATTTTTTTGATAGGTTTTCAAAATCATCTTTATGTTCCTTATGTAGCCTATTTCTTTCACTGATTGAATTTACTATACCTTGAGTTATCCATTCTTTTCGTTTTTTTAAAAACTGTTTTTGATTAATTATGTAGGAATTTTTCTGAATAAGTTCATCAATAGTTTCGGAAAAATAGTTACATTTTGCATTTATATCAGTTAAGTTATAAAACAATGACCAATCAAAGTTTTTACAATCTAAATTTAATTGTTTATAATTAATACTCTTTAAAATTTTAAGTTTCTCTATTTTTTCCGTGTATAAAGGAAAATATGCAAATGTAGCTCGATGATCGGTAATTCTAGTATCATAAATAACCGCTCTACAGTTCTTAATATCGTTGTAATTATTTGTTTGAAAAAATATGTGGTCTATACAACTTTTTGAATTACCCTGTATTCGAGTATATTTATTAATTAGTTTGATAGCAAATCTGAATTTTTTTTGATATTTATATTAATATCGCCTACAAAAATGTGTCTGTTAATATTTAAGTTTCTATTTGTTTCTTCCAGATATGTACAAAGGTGATCTACGAACTCTTCTTCTTTTACAGGTGGAGGTTTATACAATGATGTTATTAATATTTTATTTGAATTATTTATATTTATTGTGGCTTGTATGGCTTTACCAGGTCCTATTTGGATTATTTCAGATGTATGTATTAACGTTTTTTTAATATATATTATTACTCCATCGTGGCTATTTATATCACCCTCGTTATAAACTATGTCATAATCAATCAATTTAAATATATCGATATCGGAAATTAAAATGCTTCTGTGAGAACGATGCAGTCAAAACTGAAACTGAGTTGCGATAGAAATATTTTAAGGATATCCAGATTTTTTTTTAGACTATAAATGTTTTGGTGAAAAAGTTTAAACATTTTTGGATTGAGTTCTTGATGTAACTTATTAATTTCCTGCACATTCTTAAGCTCTTCTGTTTCAAATGGCTCATAGTTTATGTCTCTTAGATAAGGATCCACAACGGATTATTAATTTAAGTTTCAGCTTGCGAATAAAACGTTTCTTAAATTATTATTTAAAAATACCCGGTTCTTTAATTGCATTTTAACAGTAATGATAGGTATTGAACAGCCTAATAGCGTTTAGTTAATAAATTAATAAATTTATACAGATAAGGAAAATATAGGAATTATTATTTTTTTCGACCTCAAGCTTACGTTTTGAGGTCCCCTGTGTGTGTGTGTGTGTGTGTGTGTGTGTGTGCGTGCGTGCGTGCGTGCGTGCGTGCGTGCGTGTGTGTGTGTGTGTGTGTGTGTGTGTTTGTGTGTGTGTGTTTGTGTGTGTGTATGTCAGTGAGTGTGTGTGTATATCAGTGAGTGTGTGTGTATATCAGTGAGTGTGTGTGTATATCAGTGTTT